ATATTAGGGCAGAGGGCATTTTTAAATGTTAGCAGATTGGTGATTACTTTAAAATCTTGAGTTCCAATTGTCACTGCATCTTTCTTCTGCATATGTGCAGTTAATTGGGAAATACAGAATAATTGGAGCTATCAAAATCATCTCTCTTCCTTCTTAAAGTCTTCCACAGATACTGTGTGCTCCTACCAGTAATGTTTTGTTGTTCTGGTATTTTTGTTGTTGTTTTTGTCATTGTTTTAGTTTAAGCTTTGTGGGAGAACTCCCAGTGCCCCTATGGATCATCGTAGAAGGCTAGTTGCTTGGTTTTCCAGGCTTGAAACCCAGAGCTCTGTTTCCTGGGGAGGTGGCTGAAGGTATCTGTCCAAATAATCTCTTCCTAACTCAGACCTCCTGACCCTTTCGGAGCTGATCTGGGGTTTTGAAGTTTGAAGCAAGCCATGCTACAGAACCACTATCGAGTAACTTGTATGCTCACACACTGAGTATCAGTCAGCATTTCCTGTTTTCATTCATGTAAGTTGGACGGCTGTAACAAAAGGGAGAGAGACTGCCAAGAGAAATAACTGTTGTGGCTTGTGCAAACATTTTATTGCAAGCCTTATTAAATTTGCAGCTTTCAGAAGTCTATATTACATGCTTTTCAGGAAAGCTAAATCATACCAAGTATGATTGCTTCATGATTCAAGAAAAAGTCTGTATTAAGTTCAACATTAACTAATTCTTTGGCCTATATCTTATTAAACATTTATTAAAAGCAGCAGCAGATATGATAAGAGACTAGGTTGCTTATTTTAGGTCACTAGGAAATCTGAACTTGAAGGTTTTATATGTTGACAATCCCCAACAAGTACCTAAAAAACGGAGCCTGCCCATGGAGTGGCTGGTCCCCTTCTCACGGGGTGGGTCTTCAGATAAGGCCCCCTGAGGTCCTAAGGCACAGACACGCAGCACTCCACAGCGCCATCCTTACTGGTGGCACCTTATTAAATTAGTTCCTACTTTTGTCATTACTGATAACGTATCAGCTTACTTTGTCCCTGCTGTTTTCCTTGGCAGCCTAACGTTCAAAAACAAATAACGTAAAAGTGATTACATTCCCGTTTCAGAGTACGGGAATTTGGCACTTTCTTCTGTTTTCTTCCCATTATTTGTCTCTGTATTTCCTCTGCATGTGGAAGCCATAAATCCATAGTGCGTCCTGTTTCCTTCTCTTAACTGAAGTTCTCTCTGTTGCTACTTTTTTTTTTTTTTGCTTCCAATTTATCTCCTAAAATATGAAATTAACCTCAGCTAGCGTATGTGGACATTTGAGATGGTCATGTCTCTTATCAGACATTTATACCTTTCAGTAAAATTATTTTGGTAGCATAAGAAAAAAAGAGACATGCGCTAGAAAGGCCTAAGAACATCCGTATTTTTAATTCTCTTGTGTGTGTCTAGCGCCAATGAAATGTGGCCTTTATTTTGAGATCATCGTGGGCTCCCAAGTCTCACTCTGTTAATTCATTCGCTTACATGTGCCAGGGACTGTCCTGGGGCCTGGGGACACAATGATGAACGCGGCATGGTCCTTGCCTCCCAGTGGGCGGTGCCATACAAGTCTCATCAGGGAGCCGCAGGCAGAGACAGGCGAGGGTCCTGAGCAGGACATACCAGTAGGCTACGAGGACGGGCGGGCAGGAGGCAAAGTTCATTCTGCCTGAGAGCATCAGGAATGTTCCAGATGGAAGGAGAGGGGTAAAGATGACAAGTAACAGTGTGGGGGAGATAGGGAGCTTCTGCAGGAACCTTTATATTTCTAACGAGTGACGTTTGATGTAGGGAGTATGGAGGAAGGTAAAGGTGGGGTGTGTGCTTAAATTTTACATTGGCTTAGTGTTGTAATTAAGGCACTTTTGGGGTAAAAGGGAGCCAGTGAAGACAGGAGCACATTAGTGTTGGGTGAGGGAGAGAAGAGCTGGGTTTTTGAAGAGAGTGTGAGCTTTCACCTTTTCCAGGGGATTTGATAATTATAAATGAAACGTGTCATCAAAATGTGAGTGACCCAGGGTTTTGAATCTTACTCCTTTTTATTTGGTTTGGAGACTCATGATGACATCCATTCAGTGCCTTCTGTGTGCCTTGCAGTGTTAATCTCTCAAACGGAGAAGGCTCTGACCCTCAGGGAGCTTACAGACTAATGGGGCTTACCCTGCTAACCACGTTCAACTGGAAGGGAGCTGGAGATGCCCCGATCAGCCCCAATTCTGGAGAAAGTGCACAACAGTCTGCCTCCAACTCCGGGCAACATCAAACAGGCCTTCAGAATAGCCCTGCTTTGGGAAAATGCATAAAACTCTGAGGGCTCAAATGTTACTCCGCAGCGCTATTGGCGGAGAACAGGTCTTGCTGGTAGAAGTACTGGCTTCTCCAGTCATGACACGAGATTTCCCTTCATCTTGACAAGTCTCTGTCTGCCCGGGCTCTGTCCTGTACCTGGGAATCGCCTCTCCCCTCCCTGTCCTCCCCTTACCCTCTGTGCCCCTCCTCCCATCTCCTTTTCTCCACTTGTCTCTCAGAGCCTGACTCCCCTCCTTGTGGTCACCTCTCCCCAGACGCCCAGACCAAGCCACCCCTCCCTGCCTGCTGCCCTCCAGTGCTCTTGAGCTGAAGGGCAGGTGACCTCTGCCCCACTTCCCTGGAATGCTTGAGGATGGTGACCCTAAGAGTGGGCTCCTGTTGCTGAGAAAAGTGCCTGGACATAGCAGGAATGCAACAGCTGCTTACAGAATACATCCAGTTTCTGTGTGCTTTGGTAACAGTGAGCTCTTGCTAAGCACCAGAACCCCCCCAGTAACTCCTTATTTTCCAGGTGCTATCTCACTTAACCCTCTCAAGTCAAATGAGGACTTTGAGACTCAGGGGAAACAACTCGCCAGGTTGCACAGATAGATGGGACTGGTAGGATCGCACCTGTGGCACTAACCAGGCCCGTCCCGTGTAATCAGGTGTGCTTGCCTTGCCCCACTCTCTAATGACCTTTCACAAAAGTTAACTGTATTCCTTTTCTGGAGTCCACTGTGCTGCCCACATGCCAAGGTTAACATTTGCTCTGCCAGGGGTCCCGCTGAGATAGGGATTGTTACTGTAAACAATCTTCTGGGTTTGACCACCACTAATAAACTCACAGGAATTGTCCCAAATACTACATAACAAGGAATGTCTTTTACAAGAAATATTTTTTATTTTGTCCAAAGCATATCAATGGTCATAAAAATTTTTATATCCTCTGGCCGCAGTGCCTTACCCTTGGGAATGTGTTCCAAGAGTGTAATTTGAAAGCGCTTGAAGCTCGTATGCACAAATATTTTCAATGTAGCATTGTTTATATTGGAGTCCACCCAAATGTTCAGGAACAGGGGGAACAGTTTTATAAATCTCGGTACATGAACTTAACAAAATTATAAGTGGCCACTTATAAATTTTGAAAGTTTGTAGTACTGCGAGAAAACTGCTTGTTTGGAAGTAAGGGACCAATTTATAAAATTCTACCTGTTTTATAGAAATTATGTAGGCATATTGTTATCCCAGTCCATTCGTGTTACTTACTCTAAAGGATGACCCAAGACTGGGTAATTTATAAAGAAAACACATGTATCTGCCTCATGGTTCTGCAGCCGACTTAGGATGAGGCCTCAGGAAGCTTCCACTCATGGCTTACAGTGAAGGAGTCATGGGCATGAGGATGATGTGAAGAGAGACGGGAAGGAAGGGAGGGTGGTGCCAGGTGCTTTCTCTCTCTTTCCCTCTCCCCTTCTCTCCCTCCCTCTCTCTCTGACTCTTTCTCTCTCTCTCACACACACCACCCTCAGCACTACTCTAGTCACAAGGGATCCACCCCTCCCATTATTAAGTCCCATCTCCAACATGAGAATAAGATCTCACTATCCTAACGATAGCACATACGAGGTACTAAAAGGAAACCCAGAGGAACAACTGACTCGTGTATTTACACTTTGAAATATGTGTGAAATTTCATCATTTTCATTCTTGTTAAAGTATGTGTATGCAATAATACTAGCGGCCAATATCTTCATTTTTACATGTTTTAAATGTTTTGGTTACTTAGTAAAATTTCTTTCACTGCCAATTCCTATCTGTGCTAGAAATTACGGCCGTGGTTGTTCTGTTGGTATATAGCGCATAAACATTTTCTTTTTATGACATCAGTAGCATTCTTTCCTTAGAGTAGTACCCTTCCCACATTTTGTGAACATTCATCTTTCCAAATGCTTGTTCTGACTCAGAGGGTTTTATGAGGGGCCCCAGGTGCTACATTTCCCAGAAGCTCGGGTGATGCTGATGCTTTGGTCCATGGTCACACATTGGGTCCAGGAGCTCTTCCTTGTGTAGATGCTGTGGACCAGTATCCAGCAATATCTTGGAAGGCAATGTTAATGGTCTGCTATTTCCACACTCGCTGCTGTAACATTTCTAGCAGCTCAAGGTGGGGAGGTGCAAGTAACTTTCTCTGATTCCAGAATCAAGGTGCTATCTTGTGTCGGTTCTGATGATCAACATCTTTACACCATTCAACTGAATTTTGTCAATCAACAGAAATGACTGGGAGGCACTAAAATAAGTTATTCTAAATACAGAGAATAAGAGAGGATCTTTTATTATAATCATACTTTTTTTGTTCTTTGATACAATTTGGATTTCAAAGTTGAAAATCCCATCTGTCTGATGTGAAGCTTCTTTATGAATTACAATATTAGAAGAAAAAACTTCAAAGACGCCATTCGGGCCTGGTGGTGTGTAGCAAAGAGAGAAGCTATCCTTTTAGAACATTGAATAAAACAGAACGTTTCTATGACAATGGGAAAATCTACTTACCTTTGTGTAGGTAAAGAAAATGGATGGAAGCCAACTTTGGGCCTGAATCATAGCAGTGATCCCTGAGACCTACTTTTGGTTTTAGAAAATAATAGCACATTTCTATCTGGCTTCCTTCTCCACAGTGACTGAAGCTGGCTTTGGCGCTGATATCGGAATGGAGAAATTCTTCAACATCAAGTGCCGAGCTTCTGGCTTGGTGCCCAACGTGGTTGTGTTGGTGGCAACGGTGCGAGCTCTGAAGATGCACGGAGGGGGGCCAAGTGTGAGTACCCACACATCCTTACCAATGCGTTGTTTTCAAAATTAAGATGGAACGTATTTAGCATTTGAAACATTCCTGCCTTCAAAGTGGGTATGGTTTTCTAGAATATCTCCTTGCTTAAAATCTTTTTATATAAATTACCACCATAGAGGACGTTGAGTTAAATTAAGTTTAGTTCAAGTGAACATTAACACCATGGTTATGTCTAAGCAGTATCTATCTTTCTATCTATATATCTATATCTATCTGTTTATCTATACTAGGGGGTTCTTTTTGGTTGTTTTTTTTTTTTAGACAAAGTCTTACTCTGTTGCCCTGGGTAGAATGCTATCATGTCCTAGCTAATAGGAACCTCAAACTCCCATGCTCAAGAGATTCTCTTGCCTCAGCCTCCCCAGTAATTGGGACTACAGGTGCCCACTGCAACGCCCAGCTATTTTTAGAGGTGGGGGTTTTGCTCTTACTCAGGCTGATCTTGAACTCCTGAGCTCAACCAGTCCAAACACCTTGGCCTCCCAGAGTTCTGGCTCTAAGCAGTATTTTGGGCAGGAGCACAATGTAACCACTTTCTGGTCTTAAAATTCACATCTGATACTCATGCCAAGGCTTTCTAACCACGTGGTATCAGGAGGAAAGAGGCTCTTGTTCCTCAAGGAAGACCATGGGATTAGAGTGGTTTCTTTGATGACTAAGGTTTTTCAGTGTTTTCACAGAGAGTTTTTCAGTTCACCAACGCTGCAAGTCATCAGATTTTATCTAAAACCATTTTCCTTCCTTTCTGTTATGATTTCACCCCATAACTGTGTTATAACGTTGGATTGTTTCTAAGAGAACTTTGCTTGGAAAACAAATTCTATCTTAACATTTTTAAAGACTTTAGATAACTTACCTATTTTTTATGAATAATTGAAATTTATTTCTAACAGTTCTGGAGGCTAGAAATTCAAGATCAAGGCACTGGGAGGTTTAGTGTCTGACAAGGTCCCGGCCTCTGTACAATGCAATTTTTTTTTTTTTAAGACAGGCTCTCTGCTCTTGCTCAGCCTGGTCTTGAACTCCTGAGCTCCATCCATCCCCTTGTCTCAACTTCTCAGAGTGCTAAGATTACAGGCGAGAGCTACCACGCCCAGCCTACACTGTTAATAGGTATAGAAATGACAGATATCATTCAGGAAATGTTTTCCACAGAAAAAATATGTGTAGTTTTTAGTTTTCTCATTTCATTTTAGGAATTTCCAAGTGGAGAATAAGAAATGTTATACTTATTATACGTATATGACTAAAATATCTTTATCACAGTAATAATAGATGAGACAAGCTGTCACATCTGATTTCTTAACTGGTATACTAGACTGTGTACAGAAAAGTCACGTGATCAATGATTATTACTCAGTAAAAACAAATGCCAGGTTTGCCATCATGAAACACGGCATGTGGATGATTTGATCATCTTAGCAATTCTGTATCCTGTGAGAGGTAGACCTTTTCTTAATACCAAGGTGTCGATGAGGAAGCTGAAGTTTGATGAGTTTTGGGATGTGGACAGTGTCATTTGGCCAACAGAGAGCCAGATCGAAGCCAAGGGCTTCAGATCCAAGCCCCCTACGCCATCCAGCCAAATGAATATTAATGAATATTCAGAACTGAATATTAATGAAGGGTGAAAATGTTCTCAATCCCAAACCTACTCATGATATGAGACACTTAAACACTTCATTTTTGCCTGATGCTTCATCAACATTTCAAATGCAAGACTGATATAATATGGATTATAAGGCAGTAAATCCTGAAGAATTCTGATTTTACTGAAAACACCACTTGTTGCTATAGTTACTCCTGGACTTTTAGACTTTAAATCTGTATACCAACTTCCTTTCTCTACCTAAGTAAGATACATTTGAAATTCTCACTCCCTGTCCTACCACACTGAAAATTATAAAATCAAACCACTTTTTTAAAATGTTTTTTCTTTTATTATTATAGGTACCCAATAGCTGTATGTCTTTATATAGAATATATGTGATGTTTTGTTCCTGGCATACAATCCAGTCAGGGTAACTGGGGTACCCATGACCTTAAGCAGTTATCATTTCTTTGTGTTAGGAACATTCCGATTCCTCTCCTTTTCTTTCTTTCTTTCTTTTTTTAATTTAAAGACCATGAAGCCTCTGGAAGAATCAAAGTACTTTAATACTGGATAGCATTTCAAACTGTCTAGTCTGGCTTAGTTTATAAATAGAAAATCTCAGAGGCACAAGAGAGAGTGTGGCTTGTGTCACCCCTCTATTTGGGGGATTAATCAGACCTAAAATCATGGTCTCCTGACTTTCAGTTCAGCGTTTTTCCAGACCCTGGTCTCTGTCCTGTAAAAATTCTCCACGTTTTATGATCTGTTCCATTTTATCTTAATGTATGTGCTGTGTTTTATAGTGGTTGCATTTTCTTCCCACATTAATCCTTTGTGCCTCTTTCATTCCACTTAAGTCATGGTTCTATGCCAGGGTGCACTGGGACAAGGCCAAGGCCAGGTAGGTGGCACAGACATGGCCAGAGCATAACAAAGGTGGGGATGGGGATCATAAGCCCTGCAGAGCTAAGCATCCCTCTCCTGGGTTCTGCCTCGTTGTTTTGTGGGTGCCCACTCCCGTTTCCACCTGCTTAATTCCCAATTCCTTGAGATTTTTGACCATGTCTGATTAATAACCAGAGTGTCCCTAGTGCCTGCCGTAGTCTGTGTCCAGGAAATGTTTTCAATAATTGGCTAATAAATGAACTTTCTGTCCTTAATCCTACATTTTATGTTGTTTGTCTCAGAGTCTTTCCTTCTTACTTGAAATAGCTCTGTGGTAATGTTTCTGGTCCATTATAATTTTTTTACAGGGTCTCTACTCAGTCATATCTCCTTCCTTTAGATACCATTACACAAACAACCCTGGCGGCCTCTTACGTTTACTCAGCTAGCATTTTTGTTGCTGTTGTTTCCCATGATTTATGCAGTAGATAATCCGGTGGCTCTTTAACTGGCCCATTTTAGCCTCACTCCTGTTGATTTCATATCCTGGCCCTCACAGTGCTTGCCATCCTTGGTGTAATACAGGAACTAATATTCTTTTACCAGTTGTACCTTTGGGTCTACTTAACCCCCTTTCACAATTAGTTCTTTAAACCATTACATTAATCAGGTTCTCCAGAAAAAGAGAACCAATGCAGTAGAAATATATTTATTATAAGGAGTTAGGTGGGTGACTGTGGAGGCTGGTCAGTCCAAATTCTGCCCAGGGGGCCCACAGACTGGAGACATGGGAGTACCATGATGCAGTTCCAGCCGTGTGGCAGTCTGCTGGAGAATTCTCCTTTACTTTGGGGAGGTCACACTTTTTGTCATAGTATATTCAAGAAGGCCATCCACAGATGGGTTGAGACCCACCCCCATTGTAGAAGGCAGCCTGCTTTACTCAACGTCCATGATTAACATATTGATCTCATCCAGTAACACCCTTACAGAAACACCAGAATAGTATTTGACCAAATATCAGGAACCCCAAAGCTTAGCCAAATTGCACATAAAACCAACCGACCCACCCATTAGGACTGAATTGTGTTGTGTGCTGCAAATGCCAAATCTAATTTCATATTTCATTTATATTAATAAGCCCAACACTATTGATTGAAATAATCCCTCTTCTTGATCTTCAAGCCCACTTTGTGATAAATCAGTCCCCACACATGTGGGTCTCCTGGGATCTCCTTTCATTTGCTTTAATCTATTTATAATTGTTTGTGGTATGCAGGTACTTAACAGGACAAGGTTACTTGAGTCTGTTTCTACATAGTGGTTACAGGGCACTTATGTGTGTGTGTGTGTGTGTGTGTGTGTGTGTATCTTTTTATAGATTTGTTTTTGTGTACTTTATATTTTTAAATAATGTGACAGGCTATTTCTATTCTTGTATGTATATATTTTTTCATATCCAATGACTGTATTAACTGTACTAATTTAGCTATAGATGCTTCAGGGAATTCTATGTGGGTAGTCATGTCTGAAAATAATGACAATTTTGTTGCTTCTTCTCATGTAATTTTTGTTCTTGTCACTGACCAGGTCTTCCTAGTCATAACACAGTGCTGAGTAAGGGAGGGGATAACAGGCATTCTTTTCTTATTCCTTATCCTAAAGGAAATGCTTTTAATAGTTCATCACTAAATATGACGTTAGCTGTAGATTTTTAGTGGCTGTTTTTTATCAGATTAAGGAAATTGACTTCTGTACCTAATTTGCCAAATTATTATACTGAATGGATGTTGAATTTTTCTTCATCTGTTAAGATAGTCATGTGGTTTTTCTCTTTAATTATTAGTGTTCCAAATTATATATTACTTAACTTCAAAATAATAAATGAATCTTACACTCCTAAAATAAACCCAACTTGGGCATTTGACATCTTTTTTTTTATGAATAAGTAGATTTTGCTAATTGGTTTCCTAATGTTTTAAGTTGGATTTTTGCATCTATATGAATGGGACTTGTTAGCCACATAAAATAAATTGGGGAGAATTTTTTTTAGACTCTATAAGGGTTTGTGTAAGAGTAGAATAATTTGTTCACTCAAAGTTGAATAGAACTCACTTGTAAACCTTTCTGGGCCTGTTTATTGGTAGGGAGGTAGATTTTTAAATTATGAATTTAATTTTTTAACACTGTAGGACTGTTTAGGCTTTCTACGTTTTCTTAAATAAGTTTTAATGACAGCTCTGCCCCTGCAGATTTCTTTGTTTTGTCTGTCTTTAGTATAAAGTTGACGTAGTAACTACTAGTTCTGTAAGGTAACACACGTGCAGCATTATATTTTTCTTTCCTTCTTTTCTAAAATCTTACTAGAGTTTTTGTTAGTCTTTTGAAGATCCACCTAGTGCCTTTGACCTTTTCTATTTTTTGGCGTTTGCTTATAACCTGTTCTTCCTGCTTCTGTTCAGGTCTTGGGTTCTGCAGACTCCTGCCCGTGGCATCCAAGCTCGGTGATGCTTCATTTCTGTTTAATGTAGCATTTTCATTGTTTTCCTCATGGGTATTTTTTCTACACCATTTCCGGAAATACCCCTATGAAGATATTTTATTGTGTTCCTACACATTAATAGAAAACAATTCCTTCACTGAAGTAACTTCATTTCAATAGATTTCTATATTCTCAAGGCCTTTTCCACCAAGGGGAGAGAAAGTCACCACGTCCTATGTAAATTCCAAATGGTCTTTAGTTTTTTCCCCTAAATCAGTAGCAGGATGTAGGCAAATCCATGTGGAATTGTGGGAAGATACCACAGTGGGGTTTCAGAACCCTATTACATTCATGTCCCCATTCTGCCTGTCACTTCTGTTGTCATCTTGGGCAAGATACCTGTCTTCCCTCAGCCTCTGTTTCCTCTTCTTCCAACCACATTTCACCTTAATGTGAAACTAGTCAAAAAGAAAGAAAGAAAGAAAGTAATGGCAATGACTTTAAAATGGTTTAGAATTGATTTAGGGAACAATGATGCACTCATGTATTAAATATATGATTAGTTCCATTTTATGTTATGAACGTTTTCAACACTGGCTCAAATTCAAATCATCTGATGAGTTTTTAAATGTTACTGGCCCTGGGCCCTGGGTCCCACTTCCAGAAGTTCTGGTTTCATTGTTCTGGGTGGAGCCAAGTGCCAGTGTTTTTAAAAAGCTCCCCACAGGTCTTTACATTTCACCAACGCCGTCAGCTGCTGGTTTAGGAGCTCAAAATATGGGGCTACCTTTCCAAAACGTGACTGTGATTTGGGGTTTTCTTGTGGGTTTTCCTCCCAGATCTTTATCAAAGTAAGCATTTTAATGGGATTCTTCTTAATTTTGGGCACTTTTTATTTCAGGTCACCCCTGGTGTCCCCCTTAAGAAAGAATATACAGAGGAGGTAAGCAGGAGCACATCACATGAAGAGTCATTCCAGTCCAGTGAATCTTTGGCTTGTAGTCCACAATCAGTGTATAAGCCTCCACCAGTGCCTTAGCAAGGTGCTTTTCTAAGGCGTCCACTTGGATGTGGGCTGGGCAAATGGATGAAATCCATTCCATTACGTCTCAAATCTCGAGAAAAGATGCATGCGAGCTTTGATTTGCCATTTTGTATCCCCAGGGCACCTGTCAGCAGGAGGCCAAGAAACAAATATGTAACTTATACCCCTATATTTTCTTTTGGTGTGGAACAAACTGACTTTCGGAGGATATATAATTGGCATCATGACCTAACACAAGTGATTGATTGGACTGTGCTAGGAATAGACTTTGCGTTATTGGCAGCAGTACCTCTCAGCTCCCACAGGTGGCACCAGGGATTTGAGCCTGAAGTAGCCGCACCAGGCTCCCCGCCATCCTGGGCCTCCTGCCTGTCGTCCCACAACCTGCAGCGTGGGCACACGCTGTAGGTCCTGGCAGCCAGTCAGCAGCACAGATAGTGCCAGGCTCAAGATCCAAATATGCCACCAGACCCAGAATCATTTTACACATTACCTTGAAAATAAACTACCTGTTTCTACAGCCATGTTTTAATGCAGAAAAAGTGAGGAAAGATGAAAACTTGGCCAAGAGGTGCTACCAGTTTAGTGTGGCAGGTTTGGGGGAGGCAACACTCGGGGGCCTGGTTGGGTTTTTATTTTACAGAATATCCAGCTGGTGGCAGATGGCTGCTGTAATCTCCAGAAGCAAATTCAGATCGCTCAGCTCTTCGGGGTTCCCGTGGTGGTGGCCGTGAATGTCTTCAAGTAAGTCAAGCCTCCTACTTTAGATGCGGTTGTGTCACTGGGCCACGCTGGGAACTAGGCATTGAGGGTGTCTGGTCCTTTCTTCCTTCATCTAAACATACGCAGAAACACCTCGACCCTTTCTATTTGTTTGTTTGGTTGCACCTGAGCAGACACGTTCTCAGAATTGTTATTAGGGAAATCTATATAGTGAATGGCCATTTCCTTGGATTTTTTTTTTTAATTCTACCCAGAATTTCTGTCTCAAAGACTGAATGATCAAAGGGGTACGTTATGGAATTTTCTCGATAAAACCCTTGACAACTTAAAATATTTGAGTGGTGTTGGAAAGGATTTTTTTCCATGCTTTTCTTTAAGTCTGATTTATTTAAACACGATGTGACCACTTTTGATGTTTCAAATGTATTCAGTGTTAGGGAGCAAAGTTCTGTATAAACAGTTAGTCTTTCTTTAAAAACATCACTAAATGAATACAGATGTACAACCACAAATATTTTCATCACTAGGACTGACACCCGGGCTGAGATCGACTTGGTGTGTGAGCTCGCGAAGCGGGCTGGTGCCTTTGATGCCGTCCCCTGCTATCACTGGTCGGTTGGTGGCAAGGGCTCGGTGGACTTGGCTCGGGCTGTGAGAGAGGCTGCAAGTCAACAAAGCCGCTTCCAATTCCTGTACGACGTTCAGGTGAGATCTAGTAACAACAGCCAGGACTACAGTGGCTCCTATTTCTTGCACCTTAACATAGGTTGTCTCATTCCTTTGTCACCACAACCCTACAGATTAGGAAACTAAAGATGAAAGAGGGTAAGCCATCTGACAAAGTCACGTTGCCTAGGGCTGACACCCCAACTCCGAGCCCCAAACCTAATGCTCTTAAAAACTATACTGCACCTCCTACCAGCAGGCCCCCGTGAGGGCATGCTTTAAAGAATAGGGTTCAGCAACTGACACTTTTCAGAAGTTGCACAGGAACAAGACCTTGGAGCAATCTCATCAGGCTCGTGAAACTGTAGGAGGTATTTTCCTTGGCTTTTCTGCTGTGGTTCTTTCCCCAAGTTCTGGTTTCCTTGAGCTATGTCTCATGTGTATATATATTTTTTCATTATTGTAAAATACACACATAACCTAAAATTTACCATCTTAACCACTTTTTAAGTGCATAGTTCAATGGTAAGTCTCCAGAACTCTTTTCATCTTGCAACATTGGAACTGTACCCACTGGAAACAACTCCCCTGCCTTCTCCTGGCAGCAGCCACCACTCTGCTTTCTGTTTCTATGAATTTAACAGCTCTTGGTATCTCATAGAAGTAGAATCCAACAGTGTCAGTCTCGTGACTGGCTCATTTCACTTAGCAGAATGTTAAGCATTTGTTTGGCAGAATTTGTTTCCTTTTTAAGGCTGAGTAATATCCCATTGAATGGATATACCACATTTTGTTTAGCTGTCTGTGTGTTGGCAGACAGTCGGTTGCTTCCACCTCTTGGCCACTGTGAACATGTGTGTTCGTAACATACTTCAAGACCACGTTCTCAGTCCTTTTGGATGTATTCCCCAAAGTGGGATTGCTAGATTCTCTAGTATATTTTTAAACACATCTAGATAGAAGATCTGAGTTTCTCAGAACTCACTGTCCTTCTTAGTTCATCGGAGCAGCCTCTTGTCACCTCCATTCTGAATGCTGTGGCTCCATTTGTGGCAAAAGACTTGTCCTCACGGGGAGTCTCTGGTGGCCACAGGGCTCAGCCCTCTCCCATTCTTCCGTCCTCCTATCTCAGGTGTCACAGACGGTAGCATTGCCCCTCTTTCTCGTTCAAATGATATAAATCAATAGCCCAAGTGAAGAAGAAGGAAAAAAGTAAGTGAGGAGAGCGCTTAGCAGCATTTTCAGTCAGTCTGGAGTCTCAGCCACAAGAGCAGAAGCCCGTATTCTGAGGGCTCCCACCTAAGGAGGTTTTGGTGTGTTGGGTGGGCGGCACTTTGCACCTGTTCACCTCCCTGGCCCTACCATCCCTGAGGAGTAGGAACTGCTCATATCCTCCCATTTTGCAGATAACTGAAACTAAAGCACAGATTATGTAACGTGCCCATAGATACACAGAGGCAGACCTGGGAGAAGGAATTAATTCCTGGAACCGCTGTGGCTGTGTCTTGCTCCACTTGTCAGCGCTCAGTGTTATGCTCAGAAGTGATGGAGGGACACAGAGCTAAAGGGCAGTGGCTACATGACCACCTGAAGAGGTGGGGGACAAAGATGGAGACAGGCATGGAATCCAGGCAAGTGAGCACTCATTCGGTGTTTGTGGAAGGAAGGCTGTAAGGAATGGATTGGGATGACTGGCTCAGAAACAGTTGGTCACATTGAAGAGCAATTTTACAAACGAGGGATTAAAATATTCTGGCTTACAGAGGTGGTCATGATCGACTGGCGGGGAGGAGATTTAGAGTCAACCTAAAGAAAAATGTGCTCCCTGGACGCTGTGAGTTCTCCAGTGCTGGAGATAGTAGCATAGCATACACGTAACCCGCCATAGGCAAGGCAGGGGGCTGAAGCCAACTCAGATGGCAGGTGGCCAGGGTGACCCTGACCTGTTCCATGGCCCAGGGTGAGGTATCTACAGTTACCTGGCACAGCCCATGGCTGTTGTGCACAAAGCAGCGTCAGGAAATTCCGTCCGCGTCCTGCTGTAAGTGCCTGTTGCCATCTGGTCACGGACCACCTCTCTGTAATAAGTGGCACGGGCAGTTTTTTAATGAATGCTGTCACAGAGTGTGTCTCTTTTCATGGAAAACATCCCCGGTGAAAAGAAGGTCAGTAAACAGAAGAAACATTTCTGAGTCACACTGTCTCAGATGTGCACTAACCCCAAAATGAACCCTTTTCCTTATTTTAATTATTTTTTTCCTGAATTCCCATTTTTCATGGAGATAATGCCACTGAAATTTCTGGTCTCGTGAAAGGGGGGACATTTATACTGACATGGTCTCCAGTCTTACAGTTACTAGGCAGCCTCAAGGCCAGCACGCTTGTTTCCTCTGCCAGCACACTTCTCCCTTCTCTTAGAGCACAGAAATTAAATTCCGGCTGCGTAATTGTTTGTTAGATAATCAGCATCTCGGCCTATTGTGACATGACGGTTTATGAAAAGAGCCGTTTCTGCCTCTGGCTCCCTTTGTCCTGTCGCCTCACCCTGCCCTGGCAGGAAGATTAGATAATGTAAGACTATTTACAATCTTGTCTTGTAATCATATAGAAATCTGCATGTGTTGGCGCCGTCAGTAAAAGGGTATAAAAGTTCTACCCCTCCCCCAATTTCTTGCTTTATTCAGGGCCGGTAAAATGTATGGTTTTCTGGAAGTGCTTTTTTCTCTTTATTATTTTTTTTCCTACTACCAGCCCTTTCGTTCTGGACAGCTAGATAGCCGTGGGGTTGCCGTACATGAAACAGAAGTTAGAAATGTTTGGGGGTAAGTCAACCTCCTTCTTTGCTTACCCGTGCAAACTGTATCTCCATGCACCATTTGCTCTCTGTCCAGACTTTATTTCCCTAAGAACGGATTCAGTACAGGCTTGATGGCCTCTTACGTGCTGCCCTGCCCCCACCCCACCCTTGTATTTTAGAAGAAAGACACTTGAGATCATTTAGGGGATGCGACAGTAGTGTTGGAGCCCCGGGCTTGACTGCTCCTGTGTGAGAAGTAGAAATTGTCTCAGAACCCCAAGGGAAAGAGGACAGCTAGAGAGCCGTGGAGGCACCTGATTCTCAGAAGTCAGACAGCAGAATGTGCTGGGCGTCCTGAGGAGAAGCCCAGGTTCCGGGCGAGTAGGGAGCTGCGCTCAGACTTGAGAGTCCCTGCTGCGCTCCGTAAGAAGCTGAGTTAGCGGCCGCTGTTATCCAGAGAACAATTCTACATCTCTTTTCACCAGGGCAGCGGCTAATTAAAGAGCAGGGAACTTCTGATTATGGAACCAGGGACAGTGGTTAATTAATTCAGAATAATAATGCAAAAATAGGGAATAAGATGTAGTGGCATAATTGCTCCAAATTATATCTCTACAGTGGACTAATGTAATGTCTCCGTGCGTGCAAGCACACGGGGAAATGCTCCACTGAAAGAAACCTCATCTGTGTGTGCAGCTTGTTAGCTGAGAATCCCCTCTTCATACATTCTTCCAGGCAGGCTTCCCCCATCCCATCTGCCGTGTGGGCTCAGCTCTGCATACAGACGGGAAGGTGACGACTTGCTCCATAGCAAATGGACAATTAATAGGAGACAAACACATTACATGTGGTTAAAAGGCTGAAGCTTTGGGGTCATGCAGAATTCAGTTCAAATCCTGACGAGGCCTCCTAGGTTGGATATAAATTTCACCAAGTTGCGAGTTGCATGATGACCAAATCAGATGCTTTGTAGTAAAATGCATCTAGCTCTTGTGCAGTTGAGTGCTCTTCAGAAATAAAGTAGGAATCTCCCAAAGAATCTCTTGTAATTCGAGGTAACTTAGTCAACCACTAGGGTTGGTTTCTTTTTCTGGTGGGTTAAATTACTTCTGGAAGCCGGGGCTCCCAGTGCACCACGGAAGAAAAGCACCACTCGACTGCACCACGCCACGTGGCATTTTTCCTTCTCAGTGAGAAGTGGGAGCCCTTAGTGATTTTACTGAAAGTCCATCATTTTTGCAAAGAAGTAGGTATGGCATAGGAAGTGAGCTGGAAAGTCATTCTGAATAGTGTTTGTTGAAGCAAGAGTTAAGGTTGAAACTCGTCTCTATATCCTTCCTCTAACCTTACAAACATTTTGAGGTATAACCTTGACAGCAAGACAGAATAGTGTTTGTTTTTATTAAAAGATCTTTCCTGTTCCTTGTAGGAAGCCATTCTCTTGATCACAGTGGGGGCTGGATAAAGGAGACCAAAATAAGCCACAGAAACTCAGCCCAAGGCCACCAGCCGCCAGGCTGGTTTCTGAACTTACACTTTCACTGCCCATATGGCTAGGAGCCTTTTCTCCCCTGCTGAGCTTTGTAAAAAAGCATGTGTTTGTTGGTGGTATTATCTGGTTGGTTATTTAGAAATTATTGCAGATTTCTCCTTCATTCCTTCTTTCCTCATTTTGAATAAGAGTCTCGCTCTGTCACAAGGCTAGCGTCCAGCAGCAGCATCCTAGCTCACTGCAACCTCAAACTCCTGGGCTCAAGCGATCCTCCTGTGTCAGCCTCCCAGAGAGCCAGTATTATGGGTGTAGGTCACTGCCTCGGGTCTCATATTTCTTAAAAATTCAAACTTGAACACATGCTAGTTATTTAGTGGAGTTTTGAGAATTACCCTTTAACTGAACTTATGTCATTTCCAACCAGAGCCTGAAAAATTAAGTAAACAAATGAGAATGCATATATATGTATTTGTGTCTGTGTATATTAGTGGCAAAAATACACATAACATAAAATTTCCCCCTTCTCCACTAGTTATTTAGTGGAGTTTTGAGAATTACCCTTTAACTGAACTTACGTCATTTCCAACCAGAGCCTGAAAAATTAAGTAAACAAATAAGAATGCATATATATGTATTTGTGTCTGTGTATATTAGTGGCAAAAATACACATAAAATTTCCCCCTTTAATCATTTTAATGTAGCATTAAGTACATTCACATTGTATAAATAGGGTTTAATTAAGAGACTTTA